CCCAGTCTAAAAGAAATGGAAGCAAAGGTGAATGGAGTCAGTGGAAAGCTTTCATCACTCCTGTAGCTTCTCCCACCTGAATAGGATAGACCAGGGTGGGCAGGAAAGGGAGTTCCAAGGTGGGTTGGAAATTCAACTTCCAGCATTTCTGACCACTGGCCACACTGGCAGAGTCAAGCACGAGAGTCATAAATCTCTCTTATTCCTTAACATAGCTGGTTATGTGACCTGGATTTCCCTTAGTGAAGTATATGTACTATTATGACCAAATAATTTCACAGAACTCTATCTGCCCAGCTTTTCCTTTTAGCTTAACTGGTTGCAGGCTGGTGTGAACAGAATGCTGCATTATATGATCCAGGCCGGCTCTTCTGACACTCTTCTGTCCAGCTCTTTCACTCCCCCACCCCAACGTATGTCCTGTTTGCTTGTGGTTTTCCTTTGTTGCATCAGGAGGGACATAAGAGTGGGAAGAACAGGAATCTTCTTTACCTTCATGTTAAGAGTCCACACCCCCACCCTTTAACAAATCCTGCACAAACTGCAAACAAAAATGATGAAACTTCTAGAATCACACAGGAACCTTTCTCTAGACTTTTGTGTCGTGCAGTTCCTGGGAATCAGAAACAAGAGCCTATTTCCATTAATCAAGGTCTCATATCCTTGCATCTGGGAGGTACAGATTGACTGCTTGGGAGCGGGGTGTGTGAATGAGCTGCTTTTCAGCCCTGCCTTCATGGCAGCTGATAAGAAATGGCTCACCTGTTCCCTCCTTCCTGCACAGGTGTGCCAGACTGGGGAAGGGAAGGGAAGGGAAGGGAATGGATTTTCACCTCTACCCCCATCCCGGCAGGGGGGTTTCTTTGAGTCAGTTCCTGCAGGAACAGGCGTGTGTTTATAAGCTGTCATATGTGGAATGTTCCATAAAGCCACAACTATGCCCATGGTAAACACAAAGCTTGTATCCATGTATTTGAATCTGTCTTGTCATGCATCGGATGAAACATTACTTTGCATGCACGTTAAACACAACGGTTAGGATGAGCTGGAAGTGTGTAATCTCTGGACTGGTTGGTAGTGCCAGAGTCCATTTGGATTGCTATTCAATAACTGTATTGTCTTGCGAATTTAATAATATACAAGTATCACACGTAATAAATAACATATTTATTTTTCTATCCTGCTTTTTCACCTCAGCAATAGGACTCAGCAGTGAATAACAAGGAAATCAGGATTAAGAAAATGTTAATTAAAGCAGAGCATAGAACAAGCATATGAAAAACATGATTCAAAGCAATAATAAAATGCATACGCAGCACAGATGAATTAAAATGCGCCAGCTTATATGCCCAAAGCCTGCCAGAATGCAAGCATCTTTGCCTGCCATGGAAAGACAATAGAGAAGTTGCCACCTCACCTTCTTTCACGGGGAGTTCCAGAGTCTGGGAGTAGCCACCAAAAAGACCCTGTCTCCACCCCATATGCCTCTGCCTCTCGTGGTGGGGGGCGGGTGAGAGACGTCCCTCCCCGGAAGGCCATGGGTGTTGACAGGGCAAATGGGGCAGCAAGAGACTTGGGGTGTTAGACCTCTGCTCTGTTTGGAGGACCACCCAGTCTATGTTCTATCCACCTGTTTTGCTTTTATCCACAGATAAAGCAGCACACCATGAGGGAGAACAAGGCCCTCAGAGCTGCGCATTCCCAATTCACACATGTGCAGCAGCCATACTGCAGCCCAGTGGGTCACCCAGTCACGGTCCCCCCCACCATGGCCAAGTGCAGTGAATTTCTATTCAGGTTATAGCACTGGTTTCTGAATGCACATCTCTGCACTTAAATTAGCATGCAGGAGGATTATGCAGATTGGTCAACCCAGAACCCAGCAGGCCACACACTGCCATATCCTAGACCATCTTCAGCCACTGAGCGCAGAAAAAGTGGAACATACCGAACAAATGTTGCTGCACAATGTTATGTGAAATTAAGGCTAGAAAGTCCCTCTTTTCAACAAGCCTGAACAAACTGTGATCTACCAAGCTGAAAGCCCATCTGCTGTATATTGTAGCCTAGCCCTGGTGTGTTTGTTTACTTTTAATCTCAAAGGAATAATGCATACCTTTCAACATGCCAAAGATGAAAACAAGGGAATGTTTACAGTCGCACTCTCATACCGAGTATCTTTTTGTATGTCTCCCACAATCATGATCAGTCTGCATCCTCACTGTTATGCATGGCTGAGAGCTCATTGCCATGTCCTCTGAGTGCAGGACTGCATCAAAGATGGCTGAGGGCCCACGCTGAGAAGGCTGCCCATCGACACGAACTGTGGAACAGCTGTTCTTCCTTTGCACATTCACCTCCTGCTAACTGTGGCCCAGCCCAAGCCCCCAGTGGCAGCGTGAAGGAGTGGGAATCTCACTGCCGGCTTGCTCACTGGCTGTCTGCTTGACCAGGTCAGCTTCAAGGGGAGCTATGGTCAGGCCCCTGCTTGAGGACCACCGCCCAGCAGGGACCCACAGACAAGAGCCTCCCTGGACTTGCTGCTCCTCGTCACCACTGGGATGCCTTGTTCAGCTGCTCGCGCTCTAGCCTAGATAATGGTGGTAGTAAGAAGAAGAGCACCAAATGTCCCTCCATCATTTTCCACGTAGAATTGTAGAATCTTAGAACAGTAGAGTTGGAAGGGGCTTGCTAGGCCATCGAGCCCAACTCTCTACCCAGTGCAGGACTCCAAGTTAAACCACCCCTTTCATCTTGAATGGCTCCAGTGTGGGAGCACCAACAAGCCTCTGTAGGTCATGGGTTCCATTGCTGTACTGTTCTAACAGTCAGGAAGTTTTTCCTGAGGTCCAGCTGGAACCTGGCTTCCTGTAACTTGAGCCCATTATTCCATGACCTGCACTCTGCGATGATAGAGATCCCAGCCCTCTTCTGTGTGAGAGCCTTTCAAGTACCCCCAGTCCCCCAGTTACGAACATCCGAGTTAAGAACAACCCCTACTTATGAATAAACAAACCCAGAAGTCCGACCTTGTCCTTTAGTGGCAAGTGGGTACCCATAGGTGCTAGCTGGCAAGCAGGCACTGGGCAGCAAGTCCTGGGCAGTGAGGGGAGGATGAAAGATGGAAGGAAGGAAGGAAGGAAGGAAGGAAGGAAGGAAGGAAGGAAGGAAGGAAGGGGAAGGAGGAGGGGAAAAGTGCCAAGTGGCACCAGCAAGCAGTGAAGTCAGAACTCAAAAGTGACTCCAGTGGTAGCCCTGCTCCAGCAGCACAATCAAACCCTGATTCTCCAGCACCAGGTTGATCATCATCCAGTTAATGTTAGGCTTAATGGTAGGTCAAGAAGTGCTAACCTTTAATAATCTTTCTACTATTTTTTCTATCTTTCTATCTAAACTTGGTTAAGAATCATACTGTATACCTACATACCCACATACAGATTCTCCCCCACCTTTCTCTCTTCAGTACCTGTAGTTACTGTTTTACTATCATTATTGAAATGCTGCATTGTGTTTAAGATGTTTTACTGAATATGGAAGTGTTTCATATGTTTCTATTGTATGTGATCCAACTTACATACAAATTCAACTTAAAGACGATCTCAAGAACAGAACACATTCTTAACTCAGAGACTAGGTGTATTTGAATCTTCTGAATCTTCTCTTCTCAAGACTAAACATGCCCAGTTCTTTCCATCTCTCCTCACAGGACTTTGTTTCCAGTCCCTGCATCATCCTTGTTGTTCTCCACTGAACTCTTTCCAGTCCGTCTGCATCTTTCTTGACATGTGGTGCCCAGAACTGGACTCAGTACTTGAGATGGGGTCTAACTAGTGCTGAGTAGAGGTGAACCAGTACCTCACCTGCCAAACAAGCAAGGGTAGCAGTGAGGAGAAATTAGAAGAGGGTCAACAACAGCTAGTCACAACCCCCATGAGAAAGAGGAGCCCATTAAAGGTATTTTGCCTATGGACCATCAAAGGCATGGTGTTAGCTCCATCTGTACCATCTCTCTGTTAGGAAAGGACCTGGTCTGGGTTGATTTAAAAGACAAGGGAGAAATGGTTCTTTTTGGTTCCTGTTATGCTGATGGCTAGATGAGGGCTTTCAACCCTGCTTAACATTGTCCATGCTGGCTGGGGTTGATAAGCGCTGCAGTCAAAACATCTGGAGGGAGCCAGCTTGGGGAAATTAATTTAGCAAGTAGCTTAATATTTCCAGTTTGGGATAATTCTCCAGCCTCTGACATTTATTGGTAAAGATAGCAAGAAAGGATGAGTTTGGAATTGGCTTATTTACTTAATGTGTCTGGTATTTTTTGACTTGGTCTCAGGAACTGGGATAATTAATTTTGTGATTTTTAACTGAGATGTCATTCTGAATCAGTAAACAGTAACCATGATGACTTGGTTGAAATTTACTGATAAGTACCAAATCTTTATAGCTTTCTCTGCTGGCCTCCTCATAAAATGATTGAAATTTACTATAGAAATGCCCTAAAAAGCAGTCCTATGCTGACAGACTATATAGTATTTATTATGTGTATATATTCATGTTTCATTCAGACATCGGTTCACTTCCTGTTATGATTCATAATTTATATAGATGGTTTTTGTATAAAAATCCAGTCAATCAGTTCATGCAAGTCAATCAAAATTCAATGACCAAATCCTAAGACAGGCAAAATCACATCTGAAGCTAGAAAGAGTTGTTTGTTTAGAAGAAAGGGTTATTCCCATCCATGAAAAAGAAACTCCTACTTATTAGTAATTTCCAAATCAAGGCTTTAGAAGGTAGCAGCCCGTGTTGTGTGTCACTCTGCTAAAAGGAGGCTTTTCTGTGTTTGGCAAGTCAGCGGATGTTATAATATTGTGAGTCATGATTTTGTTGATTTTGTACCAGAGTCATGAAGCGTATATATAGAGGGACACTGGAAGCACACAGACAGATCCACTGGCAGAGGGCAGAGTTGGGACACTCAGCCAGGTGCAGAACTGAAAGCCAAGATGAAGCGTTTCCTGCTGATCGTCGCCCTCTGTGGAGCACTTTCTTGTGCCTTGCCTGTAATCCAAGAAACTGAACAAATCTCCAAAGAGGACATGATGCTTGCCAAGGTAACAGTTGAAGGGAGTGCTTAGATGGAGCAGAAGAGAAGCAGATGCTGTTAGCACATTGACTAGAAATAGGTAGTCTTTAAGTGTGTTGCATAACAGGACACTGGGTGTGATCTTATGCATAATGATGGGCTGGGAAATGTTGGATTCAGGCCCCATTCCCTGCATGTTGGGGATGGGTAAGTTGACGCTTCTTGGCCTCCATTCCTTTATCTGGAAAACAGATGCGATAGATGAATGGCTTTCTTCATTGGGAACAAAGGCCCATTTTGAAAAGCAAAAAACTCCATGTAAACATTTTTAACTATTCTAATGTGTCTGCTCTTCTCATCAGAAATATATGGAAAGCTACTACCCTGAATCAGACTCAACGCCTGTTGTAAGAAGCAAAATCATCCCTGAACACAGAATACTACAAATGCAGCAGTTCTTTGGACTGAAAGTGACAGGCAAACTAGATAAAAACACTTTGGATGCAATGAAAAAACCCAGGTGTGGCGTTCCTGATATAGGGGAATACAATACTTTTCCCAGTTCTCCAAAATGGAAAAAGAACGACTTGAAATATCGGTAAGATTGCCATACCATTCAAAGAGCTTTGGCTATTGGGTGGTATAGAGATGTAATAAATAAAATAAAGAGTAATAATGCTTCCCTTTCATGCTATGATGCCACTTAAAGATGTTATTATTAGAGCATTCCCTGGCTCCCAGGATCCAGAACAGTATCCTGGAATAGAAAGTATATAGGAAGGATTTTGTGGGGAAGAGGAATGGAATGGAGTATCCTGGAAGAAGGCTTACACCTTTAACTCCAAGTGCTCCAGAGTACACCTATTTTCAGGTTGGTTTGATAGTAAGCCTGTATGATTCCTTGGAAAGATGAGTGATGGCTTTCCCTGAAAGTCGGCTGGTCCACCATTCCTGATCTTTCCCTGCCATGAAGATCTGCTGTGATATGCTGAGTACGTTGCAGGTGGCACTGGCAGTTTGTATGAAGCCCGGTGTGCCTGGTCGTTGCACCCAAAAGCCTATGTAGACATCCCTAGAAATGCAGATGTGAAGTGAAGCAGCTGTGAAATGATGCATATGCTTGAAGGGGGATGTCTCTTATTCTGTCCATCAATTCAACTATTGCTGGCTATTCCACAGTGTTCTGAACTACACACCAGACATGGACAAGGCAGATGTAGATAATGCAATTGCGAGAGCCTGGAAAGTGTGGAGTGATGTGACCCCCCTGACCTTCACCCGGGTTTATGGAGAGTCTGCAGATATAGATATTTCTTTCGCTGCTGGATGTAAGTAATCACATACAAATGAAACCTGGGTAGAATCACCTAATTCTTGAGTGGAAGACTGATATCTGTGTTTTTGACTTTTTAAGCCCATGGTGACTATATTCCCTTTGATGGACAAGGTGGACAGCTGGCTCATGCCTACTCACCTGCCTTTGGTGGAGATGCCCATTTTGATGAGGATGAAATATGGACAAGAGATTTGAAAGGTATTCTTCCCTCTCAAATCATTCAGTTGTGCATGTGTTTGTTACAGCTTCAGGTGATTCCTAGCACCATGAACTGCAAAGTGATGAGATGCAAGGACCAGTCAGGTTTCATAAGGGAGAATGTGGGGTTTTGTCATTACTTTTAAGACAAAAGCAGCTCTAATGTTATTTCTTGGTCTTATGGTCCATTGATGAAGACATAGTAAGACAGTCAATCGTAGCTCCAGTAAAAGCAATGATATTGGTAATGTGAACCAACCAGGACAAGTTATGAGCTGCCATGCTGAACACAGCTCACCAGGTTGTATTGTGGCAACCTGAGTGCTTGGAAAATTCTCCACTCCCACATTTTCACACACTTTTTGTAGCCCTTATTGGGGTCTGTCTGGCCTGCTGTAAATGAGGGAAATGAGCACAACCCTGTATTGAGTTTGGTGGGTCACAAACATGAGACTACAGAGTAATGGGAAAGCTGTCCATCCAAGTCTAGCTTTCATTATTTCAATGCATAACTTGCATATTTGCATAAAGAAAATTTAAGTTATAAAATATACTATAAAAGTGTGACCCTAGTGTGTGTTGGCACTTCCTATGAACTCCACTATGAAATATATTTCATACATATACCAATGTCTGGGTTTGTGCAACATGATAGCACATTGTGGGTTGCTACCCATGATAGGTTGTCCTGTCATGTGACCTAAGACTGATTACTGTAGGGAACTGAGAGTAAGTTACCTGCTTTTGTAAATTAAAGATGCATATTTCTGATGGCTAGAAGCAGAAGGCACATATCATCATCAGTCATTATATTTCTGTACCACCTATAGCCGAAACTCTCTGGGTGGTTCACAGCATTAAGTCACCCACTAAGATTCCAACCAGGAATTAGGCAGGATCAGGCACTTCAGGCTATATGAAAGCTATGTCATGTGCCACAGCCTTCTAGAAACCATGCCTGATAGGCATTTTTATGCAGTAGTCAAATATTCAAGAACAAGCAAATGAGTCTATTTCTAGTTGGAGACGCCTTCATAATGCAGTTTTATCTTGCTTTTACCTCAGCTGCTTTTAAAACAAATCTGCAAAAATGCATTTAAACATTCATTAAATATGTAATTTATCTTCAAACATGCATCTCTAAATGTATTCCTTCCTAAAATGCACATTTTGGATTGCATTTTGTTTTTGTTTGGTTGGTTGGTTGGATTTTTGGAAGGAGACATGACAGTAGGACAGTTTCCAGAGAGTAACTAACTTACTTTATTGCAGCAAAATCATTAAGGGTCTTGTCACACTTGAAGACTAAGTTCTAGTATGTATTTATGGAGCCACAAAATGCAAAATGTGAAAGCAGTGTAATAATCCTAAAATTAGTCCAAAAGTACAGATTGGGCCAGTTCATATCACAGTTTGTAAAGACCGAATTCCTCAGAGTTCAGGACTAATGCACAATGTCATGTTATTTTTAAGCAAAAGTAAATCATGTTCTCTTGTTTTCCTTTAGGAACTAACCTGTTTCTTGTTGCTGCCCATGAGTTTGGCCACTCCCTGGGACTTGGGCATTCCAGGGTTTGGGGGGCCCTGATGTTTCCAACCTACCAGCCTTGGGATCCCCAGAACCTCAGGCTGCATCCAGATGACATTGAAGGCATCCAACATCTGTATGGTAAGTGCAGTTGCTGAGCAGAATTTGTGGATTGATTCCATGTACAAGCATTGAATCCAGGTTTAGGCCTATGCAGCTGGGCTGGTGGGAAGAGGGATCTCCTCTTCCTGTCCCCTGTGGCACTCCTGTCCGCCGCCATACTCCACCCCAGCCTGATTTTCAGGGTCCCCCCCTTTCTCTCCATGACACAGCATTTTATATATGAATTTCTAATATTTTTATCCTGCCCTTTTTCCTGCAAGCAATTCAAGGCCACGCACATAATCTCCTACTCTCTTCATAGCAACCCTGTGAGGCAGCTTAAGCTGAGACAGAGTGACTGGGCCAAGGTTACCCAGAGTGCTCCATGGCCAAGTGGGGATGAGAAGCAGGCTCTCCCGAGTCCCAGGTCAACACACTACATACCACACTGGCTCTCAGCAATGCCCCCAGTCCTATGTGTAGCATGGAAAAGCAAGTTGCACTCATTGCTAAAGAGGACAGTTTTTGCAAGCAGAAGCTGCCAACCCTGGACATTTGCCTACTTGTTGATCTGAGGTCAAGTTATTTGAATGTTTGTGGAGGAACCCAGTAAATGTAATGTTTGACCATAGGGATATCTGCTATGGGCAGATGTAGCTCCGTCTTCTCCTCCTCCTCCTCCTCCTCCTCCTCCTCCTCCTCCTCCTCCTCCAATACTTTCTTATTGCAAAGTAAGATCAACTGAACACAACCAATGGTACTGACTTAAAACAGACAGTCATGGATTTGGGCTGTGGGTTTTCTGCCCATTGCTAACATGGATTCTGGATCCTCCTAGGTCCAGCCAAGTGTTAATTAATGGTTTGAGTTTTAAAGAACTTATCATTGAGTATATTGCTGTGTCTCACTTTACTATCTTAGAACAATGTTGCTTGCACTGTCTTGGAGCTGTATCTTTCCAAATGCTGACTGTCCTTCAGCTATTCTCTTTACCTCTTTTCCAAGGATCCCCTGAAGATAGTGAAGGTTCATCAGGAAACAATGTACCACCACCAGTCGTTCCAACAGAAGCACCATCAACAGACATGTGTGACCCTCACCTAACTTTTGATGCAGTTACTACTCTCCGAAAGGAAACTGTGTTCTTTAAAGACAGGTAAATTAGGCCAACCATTGAGTCCATTTAATTCTAGACACTCCCGTACCTGTGACTGAACCTGGGATCTTTTGTATGTAAACGTACAAACCAATGGACCAATGTCCAGTCAATCTTCAGTAAATATTCAAATATTCTTTCTGCTTTTCTTTGCTCCAGCTTCTTCTGGAGAAAGAATCCCTTGAGAAGAGACATTGAAAAAACTCCTATTTCTGCTTTCTGGCCAGTGTTGAGCAGTGGTATAGATGCTGCCTATGAAAATGAAGTTGATGACACAGTATTTCTTTTCAAAGGTAAGTACTCTAAATTGTGTATGTTTCTGCTTAATGCAAATGTGCTGAAAGTTATGTATCTAAGGAGGTTGGAAAGAAGAAAAAAATGCCCCATTACTGAACTGTCACAGACTGTGTGCAACTTGATATCATCGCCAGGTTCCCATTGCTGCAGTGGCTACAATAGTGGCCTAAAGTGAAGTAAGATGTTCCTTGTACAAGAATCTGTATTTACTGATTTATTTATTTATATTTATGTTCCATCTTATTTCCTCCCAAGCAACTCAGGGTGGCTTACATATTTCTCCTCCTCTCAACCATATGCTCAGAAAAACAACCCTGTAAGGTAGACTGACCTGAGAGGTTGTGATTGGTCCAAAGTCACTCAGTAAGCTCCACAGCTGAGCTGGGATGAGAATCCAGATCTCCTGAGTTCCACTCCCATACTCTTAAACACTCCATCACACTAGCTTTCCTAATGCACTTTGGTTTCTTCTTTTGTCCTTTTTTCTGATGACAGTTTCTGTAATGTCCTTTCTAGAGAATGTAGTATAAGGAGAGCCCAGAGGATCTAATTAGCATCCATTTAATCTTTCCTTCCACAGGACATAAGTACTGGGCTACCAAGGGAAGCATCATTCAGCCTGGATTCCCAAAGAACATCCACCACTTGGGCTTCCCCAGAACAGTTCAGAAAATTGATGCAGCTGCTTATGACAAAAGCTCAAAGAAAACATACTTCTTTTCAGGCAACAGCTATTGGAGGTAAGGGGGAAATTTTCCAACCCATGCTGAAAAGGCCCGAAAGCAAGCCACTGCATGCTTTTAATCCCTTGCCACCTCAATACAAAGAATGCACCCCATTCCTCTTGCTGATTTACTGTGCACCCCCAAATCAACTCTTGATTTGGGGTTGATCACATCTGGTTCCCTCTCCAGAAAGCTGTTCTTCTCCCACTTGAAGTGAATGGCTTTTTATAGTCTCTAGTAATGCTAGCCAGTACGGAACAGGTCATAGAGTGTTGGACAAGAGGTCCAGGTTCTAGTCCCCAGCAGGTCACAAAACTAACAGGGTGACTTGAGGCCAGTCACTGATTCACAGCCTAACCTACCTCATAAAATTGTTTTAAAGTCAGAGCAGAGAGGAGGAGGTTTATTTAAGCCCCTTTGGGTTCTTTGGAGGTAGAAAGCCAGTGTGGTGTGGTGGTTAGAGTGTTAGACTGAGGACCTGGGAGATCTGGGTTCTAATCCCCACTTGGCCATGAACCTTCAGACTCTCAGCCCAACTTACCTCACAGGGTTCTTGTTGTGAGGATAAAAGCTGGAGCTATGTAAACTGCTATGGAGTTCCTCACAAGAGAAAAAGCAAGATAGAAATCCAATGTCAGCATCAGCATGATAATGATATAACATCACAGATTTAAATAATCTGCTACTTTTAATTGTCACTTAGCTGAGAAAATTGCCCCATGAGAAGCTGTTCTGCATCACCTTCAGTTGAGGTGTTTGCTCTGACCTCCAAGCTGCATTACTGTACAGAATAACTTTGGAATGGTGACTCCCAAGGAGCACACAAAGCCTCTCACTCAAACTCCAGCCCATTTACCCTTATTCTGGTGGTGGAAAAGCAACCCCACCTCCTTTCCCCAATAGCAGTATGACTTGGAATCACCAGCACATGTCAAATGCCATGATTTTACATGCATCATGCCCTGTCACATGTTTCACATGTAAAAGGATTCCATGAAGCTATTTCAGGGTGGTTCCCATGCCTTGCTCTTACATGCATTTTCAACCCATGAATTTCTTTAGATACGATGAAGCCAAGCATTCCATGGAGAAAGGCTATCCAAGGAAGATAACGGTGGATTTCCATGAAACTGGTCACAAGGTGGATGCTGCTTTTCTAGTCAATGGTAAGCAGAAGATCTTAATAGTATTGACATCCAAAGCACAGTAGAGTGAGTGTTTGGTTGTAATTGCAAGGGAAATGAATTATTTCCATAAAAATAATTCTGTATTTATTCTGTATAATTCTGTATTTCTGGGGCTCCTGTAAGTTGGTATCTCAGGACTGTGTCCATGTCAGAACTTAGGAAGAATTAATCATCATGCATGGAATCCTGTCTGTAAGGTGGGAGAAGACATTGCAAGTTCAAGGGTGATGCTATCTATAGAATTTTGGAGGTCTCAGTGAGCTTCTTCGAGTTGACCAAGCTCTCTGGGCAAAAAAGATTTCTGAATGCCTAATTCTGGTTTCTGTCCTTATTAATGAGAACACTTGTTCTGAAAAACTATCCACCATGATGTGGATGCCCTAAGCTTCCAGATAACACTGAGTCTGTACCATTTGCCAAACCTGAGGCTTGCAGACACACAAAAAATCTTCAAGAACCATTCCTGTGATTAACAGCTCCTTTTAATTGGCCTATATGTCAATGTATGTATTCACACAAGCAGTTGCATCAGTGTAAGTTCCATTCCTTTCACTGATTCTGCAGCAGCGTATCAATCATACCAAACCGTATATATTTCCTGTTTTAAATATGGTGTCCTTTCTGAGAAGAAACATTGCATTCAAATGTGAAGAATTCTAGAGAGAAAAATGCAAGCTTCAGTACAGGACTGGAGAGCCGCCTGCACCTATCAGATTCACAATCTTTACCTTTCTCATGGTTCTTTCAGGACATCTCTACCTCTTCAACGGCTCCAAGCAATATGAGTTTGACAGCAGAACCAAACAATTTCTGGGAGAAACGAAGAGCAACCGCAGGCTTGGCTGCCAATGATGACTAAGGAAGCATGAAGTAGGCAATGGAATTCCTGCATCGCGGTGCATCAATCGAGCACCAACTTCTGCATTGTGCTGGCCTTCCTTGTGCCAGCCTCCTGCTTTTGAGCCACCAAAAAATACTGCCATGACTGACCACTTTTAGTAAATCAAAAGGTTAACTCTGAATATGTATCTATTTAATATAAATTATTGCATTAAAATATTTGTCAACTTCTTTGTGGCTATGTCAAGTGATTTGTCTTTCCATATAAGATGCTTCTGGTTGGTTTTGTTGCACACAAGCGTAAATCCACAGGTTCCTACAAGGAGAGGAGGCCAACTGGTCACCTTCTTGCCCCTTCATTTTCATAATGGTCAGCCCAAGCCACTCATTCCTACTCTGTGTTCTGTACTGCATTGTGAGGAGCTTGCTCTTCAGAGAGCTATCCAGTGTTTCCTGCTATCCAGTATCCTGTCTTATTTCATTTGTTTATCAATTTTTAAAATGCTGGCTTTCTGCCAACAGTCTCCCAAAGTGGTATGCTAGGCAGGATTGTAAAAGCTATTTCAAGCAATAAGCTTTTAACAAGAGCATCAGAAAAATCCAGAAAGTGGAACTAGCTGCTAGTTTCCCATTAGCAACCATTAAATGCTGAGGAAAGATATACATTCTCACTGTCACCACAAAAACAAGTAATGGGGGTCAAGTCTAAGTTTCCAGTGCTGAACTTCCTCTCACTGTATAAGTTGTATTTAGCCATTAGGAGTACTTAGACCTGTCCTTTATGGACTTCCCTTTCCCAAGTGAGGGTCCCCAGATGTTTTCACAGATTCATAGATTCACAGAACAGCACTGGTCAGAAGGGGCAAGGAAGGCCATTGAGTCCAACCCCCTGGTAGTCTGGAAGAGCAGACAACCTCTTTTGGCAACCGGTTCCACTGAGGTACTGCTCTCACAGTCAGAATATTCTTCCTTCAGTCTAGCCAGTTCCGTGTCCTACAATCTGGAATGAACGAGAAGAGGTCTTTTCCATCTTCTCTGTGGCAGCCTTTGAGGTACGTGTAGAGTGCTATCAAGTCACCTCATAGTCTTCTTTTCTCAAGGCTGAACAGGCCCAGTTCTTTCAGCCTCTCATCATAAGACTTATTTTCCTGGCCCTGTAATGTCATTTTTGTCCTTCTCTGAACCCTCTCCAGATTATCAGCATTCTTTTAAATTTGATTGCCCAAAACTGAATGCTGTATTCCAGATGAAGAATGACTAATGCAGAGTACAGGAAATGGGTACTTCTGTATTTCTGGAAGTCATACCTCTGTTTTTGCAAAATAGTGTTGTGTTGTGTGTGTTGTGTTGTTTTTAGGTGCATCACACTGCTGGCTCATATTTAGCTTGTTGTGTACAACAACTCCAAGGTTTTTTACTTTTTCAGTGCTGTTGAGCCAGGTATCCCCATCTTGTATTGGTGCAGATGATTTTTTCCCTTTGGCCTAGGTGGAGAACTTGGCATTTCTCTCTCTTGAATACCATTCTGCTGCATTCAAGCTTGTCTAGGTCTCTCTGGATTTTCTTTTTGCCTTTCAGGGCATTACCCATTCCACCCAGTTTAGTATCATTTGCGAATTTAATTATCTCTCCCTGGATTTCCTTATCAAGATAGTTAATAAAAATGTTGAAGAGTGCTGGTCCCAGGACTGAACCCTGTGGTACCCCACTAGTGACTCTTCTCCAGGATGAGAAACTGCCATTGATGGGCACTCTCTGTGACCTATTTTGAAGCCAGCTATGAATCCACCCAGCAGTAGTTCCGTCAAGCCCACATTTGCTATTTTATTTATTAGGATGTTGTGCGGCATTTTGTCGAAGACTTTGCTAAAACCAAGCTAAATAAAGTGCACTGCATTTCCTTTGTGCATTTGACAATGAATGAGATTAGGTTGGTTCGGCAGGACTTATCCTTCAGAAATCCATTTTGGTTTCTGCTTATCACGACATTTTCCTCAAGGTGTGTTCAGACTGCTTGTTTAATGATTTGCTTCTGTACTTTCCCAGGGATTGAAATTAGACTAGCTGGTCTATAGTTCCCCAGTTCATCTGTCTTCCCTTTCTTGTAGATGGGGATCAATCAGCACTCCTCCAGTCATCTGGCACTTTCCCTGCTCTCCAAGATTTCTCACATATTGTATATAGTGGCCTAGAGAGCTCTTGCACCGGTTACTTTAATAATCTAGGATGGAGGCTGTCAGGTCCTGGAGATCGGAATGCCTCCAGCTCTTCAGGGAGCTCCTTGACCATTTGTCTGTTGGTCTTTGGCTGCCATCCTTTTCTTTCATTTTGCATTACCTCCTCTCTAGGCAGGTCACTTTTCTTTTGTGTGAGAAGACTGGGCTGAAGTAGGAGTTGAGCAACTCTGCTTTTTCCTTGTCATCTGTTATCTTTTTGCCATCCTTGACAAGTTGGTGTATGCCTCTTTCTTTTGTTTGTCTTTTATTTTGTACTTAGCTCTAGAGGTTTTCTTATTATTTTTAACACGCCTCTCTAGTTTCAGTACATAATTCATTTTAGCCTTCCTGACTCCATCCCTGCAAGTTTTTGCTGTCTGTTTATACTCTTCTTTTGAAGCTTGACCTCCTTTCCACTTCCTCTACATTTTCTACTTAGCTTTTAAGTTGTAGCCTAACTTTTTATGAAGCCATAAAGGTGGG